CCAGTAGGCAGGTTCCCGACCAAACAAAGTAGGTTAGAGGAGGAGGCAGAGCTGTTTAATTTTATCCTATCTTTGCCACTGCCACCATTGTGTCCTCGCTGTGCTCCTACATCACTTAGTCCTCTTCGAAAGAAAAACAACAACAATCAAACGAAAAGCGCCCAAGCAATTTCTTTATCCCTTTTAACCCTAACATCAGTATGCATATTCTCTATTCTCTTCTCTATACATTTCTTTAAGTGCCTATAGGAGAAGTTGTTTATCAATCAGGAGTTTCTTTAGTTGGTGATCATTTTCGTTATTCTTGTGACCTTCAGCTGTGATTTAGCAGTGATATTGTCAGGAGAAGTTAGATACTGGTCACTCTTAGGAGTCAAAAGGTTTAAAGAAAATGTTTTTAGCTTCTCCTCACTAAGATCCTCACCTTGGGAACAAATACGAGCCCAACCAAAACGGACACAGCAAGCTGAACTCTGAAGAACTCCAGCAGGTAAATCATATCAGGTCCCGCCAGGTCCCCAATGAAAAGCCTGCAATAAACCACAGGGGAAAAGGTTTTTCAAATCCTTCAGCTAAAAGATGTCAATTACAAGTAAAATAAATTATGATAAAACAGAGGAAATGGGAAACTGCCCAAATATCGGATTGCTTACAAGTCTTAACGTCAAGTAAAGCGATGATCTGAAATTTTAGCAATTGTTGAGAAGGAGACTGAAAAATATTCCGACCCAGGCCTCCCAGATACTAGTCGGGCGCCTTTACCAACTGAGTTACTAAGCCACACGTCAGGAGCGAGACACATTTTGGAGGTCTCTCCTCTCCACCTACTAGAAATTATCTTTGCATTAAACTAAAAGTTTTTCTTTCCTTTTCTGAGTCTGTCTCCATTGCTGCAGCTGTCCTTATTATTTTTATGACTGCCGTTTAAAAGGTTTTTTAGATTGTTTAGAAAGCAGGTTTAACCTTCCACAGCCTTTTTCATACTTTGTTACATCACCAGTTTGCCAAGTTAAAATGTCCTAACGTCTGTTCATTTCCTAATCTGCTTTTCGTTGTGCGCTCTAAGACAGAAGACTGAAGACTGAGACCAATGGACAGAGTGTTGGGAAATATTTTGCTTCTGATCGCGTGGTCTGATTGTCCGGGTAAGATCAGCTCAGGGGAGGACTTAGTGTTGTCGGTATAAATAGCTGACGTTTTGAGAACCTCACTCATTATCACAGTCAACTAAAGAGCTCTTTTTCAGTCAAGTCTCACAAAGTCTGTTCGTGAAAGTGACCTGTCGGTTTTGCCTTGATGTTTTCGGCTGCTTGCATGGATGACTCAATTAGCCTAAAAGGTCGGTATAAGATTAAAGGGGGCCTTTACTGAAATCTGAGCTCGTTTTCCATTTTTAGATAACAAGGATAGAAAACTTCATCATAAAAACCGAAAAAATGATGACCGCGTGTGCAAAATTAAGGGAAATTTTTAAATTAGAAGACATCTGTGCGTGGACAGAAAGCTAAAACACTTAATGATAGACAGCTAAGTATTTCACTAAAAAGCCGGTTATCTCTTGGACATATACATTAAAAGGGGCTGGATGGTAATTCGTGAACAGATAACTTAAAAGTTTTTCACTTAGTGAGTGAAATCTCACGAACGCACATGACATGAATAACAAAATGGTAGTTTTATGACTTTGAGCACGTAAAATGTTGGCTCGATCGCTTTGAGCTCGTCTGAATGGTCCTTCACAAAGTTTTTTTGAAATAACTTAAAACTAAACCTCCTTACCCTGCCTACTATAGCCGGAACTATTTGAGAGATCAGCTAAATGGTAAATATAGCAAAATAGAAAATATTGCTATGGTTCACCTGTTATAAGGCTTCGTTTAAATACGAAAATTTGAATCTGAAGAGCCAAAAGTACAGCGCAAAAGTGCTGCCTCGCAACCTCTATTTGAGTGAATGGCTTCATAACAGCGGCGTTTCCCTAATCAAGCGGCCTTCGCAGTTAAGTTTTACAATTGCAATAGCATCAGAAGCCTTTTTATTAGAGAAAAAAACCAAACAGTTTCGAGAATATTCATAAATTAATTGATAATTTTCCTCGTCAGCTGCACGGAGTCCTAACTATCACTTGAACGCAAATGCTGACGCACATTGCTTGTAATAAGTCAATGGATTACGTAGGTAACTTGACAATCAGCGCAAACAGATGCATTACCTTAAAAAAAAATTACCTATTCACTTCTGTATCCTAAGCATCCATTTAAATAGAGCCTTAAAAATGTGACACTTCTTTCAACCTGCGAAAGACAATGGCTCGGCCAATTTCTAAATAGTCACCACAAGGTTCCCAAGAGGTACAGACAAAAATCTGCGCCGTCACACGCAACAAAAGTATTCGAATGTATAAAGGGGATTAAATTTCTAAAGAAACTGTGGTGTATTTTGAATTTATCTACTGACTTGATAATTTAAATTGGCCATTGTAAAGAATTTTTAAGCTGACGTTTCAAGCGTTAGCCCTTTGTCCGAGAGAATGACGAAAACCAAGTACGAAAAAAAACAAAAACAAAAACAAAAAAAGTAGCCAAATAATCCCTAAATAGTTTCCCTCAACTTCAATTAAAAAATTCATATTCCTTGAGCAAGTTTTCTTTCACTAGTTTTCACAAAGGTTTCTATAAGGTTTAGGGTTGGAAAAGGATATTAGAAAAAGCAAAAAAACCCTAACCCTAGGCAAAGACATCGAGAGAATAGAATACAACACCCTTCACCGTGTTCAACCGTACTGCATGAGGTTGCCTCCCAATTAAACTTGACATAGTGTGGCTATATTGACAATATCTATTGTGACTCATGTTTATTGAAACAGCCAAAACGCACAGCGGGCACGAAATTAAAACCATTACCAAAACCCCAACAAGTAAAATGCATCATGAATAGATTTTAAGCTTATTAAACTCGCTTCGACGCGAATGATGAGCGGTGCACTATAAATTTCAGAGAGGAAAAAGGCAAATATAGCAAAAATAATTCGAAAGTATTCGCATGATTGCCTCGCCTTACAAAATTATACGAGCATTGAAAACGAAGAATTAATTGACTGTTAATACGGGACCTCATTGCATATTTACAAGAACCTGCGGCCTGTCAGAAAGTGACGTTCCACCTGTCAATTTCCGGAAGGAAACCAATCAAATGCTTTCAAAGACCAAATAACTTGATTAATTATGTTTAAAATAGAAATCATCAGTAAGATTTTTACACCTTAATTCTAGGAAGGAAACAAAAATAAGCCCAAATAAATAAATTATTATAGGAAAGACCAAATAAAGATTTCTACCAAGGCTGTGTGAAGTATAGGCATACGTTTGATTCTGATAATAACAATAAATACGAAACAGAAACGAAAGGAAAATAAAAGATGAATTTCCAAGGCTATCAAAATAAACGGTTCATCGTCCCTGCCATACGAATTATTCCAAGAGGAACTAAAGTGAGTTTGTACCTAAAAGTTTCATAATCCAACCATTAAATAACTTTAATTCACACGGGATAATATCTTTCATTCTTACAATTATCATTTATTATTAATATTATCATTATTATAATTATTATTATTATTGTCATTAATACCATAACTATCTATTATCTTACATTATAATATTTTATATTATACAAGTCTCTTTCAAGAAATTTTTTGTTAGGGAATATGGCAAGAAAGATAGAAGTATGGCAACTTTTTTTGCCTTTTTTATCGCTGTTATTAATTAAAATTTATCTTACATAGCATCAAAATGACAGTGGAAATAATTCCTCCACTGCCTTTTAACAAGTAATAATTCTTGTCAAGCCAAAATTGTCAAAATTAAGATAAGTCTTTTCATTATTTCGATGAAATAAAGAAGATAAAAAAAAAAGTTAAATGTTAAAATAAAGATTCGTGAAACGTGTGGGAGGAGATTGACTTCGGACACAATGCGTCAATAAAAATCATTACCTGGTAACAATTCTGCAAGCAAGTAAAAAAGTGGTCACGCGGAGGGAGAGTACGTGACAAAGGAGAAATTAAGAAACTTGCATGACGTAAAATGTCAGAAATACTTTGTCCGCTAAAACGTTACAAAAGGCCTCTCGTGCTGTAGATATGTTTATGCACGTCCGAGGAGCAATTCACATATTTTCAGCCACGAAACGTGATCGCGAATAGTGATTAATTTTTAAAAGTGTAAAGCACATTAAGTTGTCATTCACAAGATCATTCCGTTTGCAAGAGTTAATCACTATTGTATTAAGGGTTGAATTATTCAAGTTTGAGCCGAAGCTTGCGAACAACCAGTCAACAAACAGACCACAAATTGTCTTTTCTGTACATATTTTCCAAGACTAAAGCATTCTTATAGGTCCTCTCTCCCTTTAAAATAAATGCAAGAGCTAACCTCATTTAAGGACAGCGAAAAATTACTGGATTAAAAAAGTTGAATTTAATGAGGAAGCTAGCTGGCTTAAAGCTTTCGTCTACATTCTTATTAAAGGCAGCAGGCAACGTCACCTTAAAATGGGTGTCGTTGCGAATTTAATAAAGATATGCCTCTAATAAAAATTAGACTTTTAAATAATCTTTTGGTAGGGTACGCAAACAAATAAAAGATACTAAAAAAGGTTTAAGATAGAAGAGATTAACACGGATTGTGAAAAAATTAGCCTAAATGTTTCCAGGTCGAAGAATTGCGATGTAACGCCCTAAAGTTCTCATTTAGGATAGAAGAGAAGTGTAAAAAACCGTCCCTGTGAAAGCCAGCGAGTAAGTGTCGATTAAGTTAAAGGAAAACATTGGAGAGAATATTCCATCGTCGAAAAAAGGGTGTTTGTCAAAGGTGGATTAAAAGACGAACACATGCTTCAATAAAGGACACTGACGGAGAAAGTGACATGTATTTGTTCGGAACTGAGTGTTAAAAATTAAAAACATGGGCTATACAGTATTAAGGTTTACTTAAAAAGTTACTGATTCAATCTAGGTGTTGTTAATTAAAGTAAGGGCAAAATTAAATGGAAACTAGTCGAGTCGGCAAAAACATATATCGCGTACATTGTTGGTCGCGTAATACGCATTATTAAGGAACTGAATAACCTAAAATTAGTCACTCGTTCAATAAATAACAAGGACTGATACTCGTCTTCAAAACTGAGTTTTATTATATAGTTTCTGTACATGGAAGATTTTTCATTGTCACGAATAAATAGTTAACAAGAAATATTGCTGAAAAACCATCAAATGTACTTCCATGTTTTTTGTCAAATTTTTAATCAACTTTACGACTTGTATGCAAATTTGATGAATTTTTTTTTGTTAATTTTCACCGTTCTGTTTATTTCGTCCAGCGACAGAGTGGAAAGAAGTAGGGCGGTTTCAACCAAATTATACGCGGTGGAGTTTCGTCCCCGCACTTTTTATTCCAATGTTTATCATTGTTATCATTACAACTGTTTTGCGCGCTGTGGCGGTCGCGCGATTCTTTTTTTGTCGAGGAGT